TCTTTATTTCTCAGCCAGCCAACACTTAAGGAAAATAGAAAGAACCTACGTTGAAATATTGGGGGTGGGTTCCCCCAGTAATTTAGGTTTGGTTATCTGGCTTAAACCTTGCTGGGGGCTCATGCCTTTCATTGGTTTTGGAAAATTCTCACTTATTATCTCCTTGAGTTTTGTTTTCCCCTCGTGATCTCTGTTCTCCCTTTTTGCCAGTCCTGTTGGAAATTTCTAACTTCTTCTGGAAGGTCACTCAGACCTTTTGATTCTATTCTCCATGCCCTCTTTGAAAACCGTTCTTTCACATCTTTTTATCTTCTGGTAAAATACGTGCAAAAGCTTTCCCAAGATCCATCTTCTAATCCGAGAAATATCTATTCTCTTATTTCTAAATGCTGTGTAACACAGTGAATGCAATTAAAATATCAATGACTATGTTTTTGTTTCTACAGATTCCTTTTTTTTTTTTTTTTTTTTTGTGAGACAGAGTATCGCTGTGTCACCCAGACTGGAGTACAGTGGTGTGATCTCAGCTCACTGTAACCTCCACCTCCCAGGTTCAAGTGATTCTCGTGCCACAAAGGCATGCGCCACCATGCCTGGCTAATTTTTGTATTTTCAATAGAGATGGGGTTTCACCATGTTGGCCAGGCTGATCTTGAACTCCTGGCCTCAAGTGATCCAGCTGCCTTGGCCTCCAAAAGTGCTGGGATTACATGCGAGACACAGATTATTTTTCTCCTCAAATTTACCCTAAGTATGTCTCATTCTTTTTCTGTTCTCAGTCCTATGTTTCATGTCTTTAAATTTTGCAACTGATTTTTATAGATTCTCTGAAACTCACAGGGGCTGACCTTCTCTTTACTTTGTCTGAGGGCCCCCCATGCATGACGAATTGTTTCCTCATTTTCAAAATGACTTTGCGGGTGGGGAGCCAGGTGACCCTCTGTTAGGTGAGGACGTAACAGTCTTGAGAGGCTTCATATTTTCCTCCACCCTGTGCCTCCTGCTGCCACGGGGGAGCTTGTTCTGTTCACATCAGTTACATGGTTCGGAGGATCCCGGGCCCTGCACATTCTCTAAATTCAAACCTGCACAACGGCAGAGTCATTCGCACACTTCTCAGGGGAGCATCGTTTTTCTCCCAAAGATGCATCAGATCGAGTCTCTCCGAGGCCCGTGGCCAGTGACGCCCTGCACCTGAGAGCTCACGGTGGCACTGCATGCAGAGGTCTCGGGGCTGTCCCTGCTTGTGGGGCCCTGGCTCCCTCTCCTTTCCGAACGCCATCTTTAAATCATACATTCTTTACTATTAAGACTGGCTTTCTCCTTCCTGCAGACCAGGACAGCTCTGGTGTGACCTCAGTACTGGCTTAGAGGTACCCTAGGGGACACTCCTTACATTCCCACCAGCTCAGTGATGCCTCCGAGGGACACTGCCTGTGCATCCTCCCGACTCCGCGGGCAAGGTGGCATGCAGCCCCTCAGGTTATACCCCTGCCTTGTGACCAGAAGAGGCCACCCCTACACTTGCCCTCAAGCGTTAGTGCATTCTTGCTGGAAATCCACACATGTACCTCTCAGTCACATTCTGTCCAGCCATGCGGGCCCCGAGCTCCCAAAAGACCCAGACCTACTTCTTTGGTCCCCTTTGGGTCTCTGGCCCTTGGTGGGTGCACACACGTACATTCAGTGAGACAGGGTCTGAGCCAATCCACAGGGGCTGCTGAACGTGCTCACCTCAGGGCCAAGGGCCACCTGGCTCTCTCCAGAGGACAAAGTCAGGTGGTCACGTACCTGTACTTCTTGGCAGGACTCTGTCTGTGGCAGATGGGCTCGTCGTCCTGGAGAGGAGAGAGGCTCTGGCTGTGTCCTCCCCAGCAGACTGTGGCAGAGTCTGTCTTGAGGGTCTCTCCCTCCACTCCTGGACAAGGCATCTTCTCCTTTGGAGCAGCTACATCTGTCATGGTTCTCATATCCCCATTGTCAGGCCCGGGTGCCTCTGGCTCCTGCCTGCAGTAAAAGAGAGCTGCAACTCTGGCTGAGACGGGCCCACCATCCCGCCCCTCACAGGCCCCAGGGGCCTGGTATGCATCAGTCACACAGGCATGCTTGGAGGTCCCTGAAGCCTTGGCAAGGCCACAAGCAGCCCCCAGCCACAGACACCCCCTCGCCTGAGCATCTGTCTCTGGGGAAATGGGGGGTCCCTGAAGCCTTGGCAAGGCCACAAGCAGCCCCCAGCCACAGACACCCCCTCACCTGAGCATCTGTCTCTGGGGAAATGGGGGGTCTTTGTCAGAAAGCGGAAGGAGAAGGGACCAGTGGGCGGCCTGGAGGCCTGGGGCCTGGCCTAGGGTCTCAGCTCCCTCATGGACTTATGTGATCTGCCCTCCCCGGGCACCTCTGCAGTGTCCCTGAGCAGGTCTGCAGGGACAACCCAGGAGGAGGATATCACCTCCCCACAACCCCCCAGCGCCATCTCCCCCAGGGCCCTCTCCCCTCCAGGCGGTCAGCACTGACCACTGCCTGTTTTGTGGAGGGAGTTAGACGTGGGTGCCGCAGAGAGAACAGGCTGTTTGACTAAGATCCCATCCCTCTCTCCCTGGACACGTGTTCTCAGAGACCACGGCCCCAGGGAGTGCGTGGCCACAGGGACCAGGTGCCAGGCCTCAGAACACGGCCCCAGGGAGTGCGTGGCCACAGGGACCAGGTGCCAGGCCTCAGAACACGGCCCCAGGGAGTGCGTGGCCACAGGGACCAGGTGCCAGGCCTCAGACCACGGCCCCAGGGAGTGTGTGGCCACAGGGACCAGGTGCCAGGCCTCAGAACACGGCCCCAGGGAGTGTGTGGCCACAGGCACCAGGTGCCAGGCCGAACCACATGGGTCCCAGGGGAGGCCTCAGCCCATCACCCTGACCTGCAAATCCAGGCCTGACCCCAGCCTTGCCCTGTGGGGAGGAGGCCCAGGGCAGAGCCCATCGCCACAGATGTGGCCCTCGGGACCCACAGCATCCATCCCCTTCTTGGCAAAATCGCCCACCCAATTAAAGCTGGCTGGGGTGGCTGTGCCTCCTCCAGGCTCCCCGAACACTCACCACCCACGAGACCAGACAGGGACGCACCTGTCTTCAGTGTCCTGACAGCGATACAACAGTAGGTACGGGGTCTCAGACCTGCGAGAGGAGCGGGGACAGGACCCATCGCGCCTGAGTGGAGTCCTGCCCACCAGGCACGCGGCCGCATCTGTCCCACACAGCAGCAAACCCAGGCTCAGCAGCCTCGGCTTCCCGGGTCTCTGGCCAGACTCACCGTTTCCTGGGTGGTCCTCCTATTCCTGAGCCCCGCTGTGCGGGCATCACACCTCCCCTCCCTGGACGGTGAGACGACACACAGGGGATGATCCCCACTCTCGCCCCTGCCCGTGGGGCCCTTGCCACACAGATAAGAGGGAGCAGAGGGCACAGACCTTCCTCCCACAGGGGTGTGGTGTGAGCTCGGGGTGGGGGTACAGCCCTGTGAGGGACCTGGGTCCAGGCCATGGGTCAAACCTGACCCCACGACAGTAACCCTCTCAGGGAAGGGTGCCCCGCCTGTCCCACTCCCTCCCCGGGTGAAAGGTCAGCTGCCCTCAGTGGGCGCCGCCTCCACAACAGGGCCCTGGGGTCATCACGCAGGACAGGGTCCCACCCCGCCCCAGGAGGGCCCAGCAGCCTACCTGAACGTGTGGTGCAGAGGGAATTCCGGCCCCACCTAGAGTGGGAAGATGGGGCCTTGAGGATGTTGCCCTGCCACCCATCCCCACGCCCTCCCACCTCAGCCTGGCCCTCAGCGGGGTCACCCTGAGAGTCACTGCCCTCCACTCGGACATGCCCTTCACTGGCCCTCCCAGCCTGCCCTCCCCAGGGCCACCACCCTCTCCGGCTTCCTTCCCCCCTCCCACCCTCCTCCTGTCTCAGCCTCCTCCCGCCTCACCCACCCCTGCACCCGCATCTCCTTTCCCCATTCTGCTCCCATTCAGCTTCACTGTGTCCAACAGCCCTCACCCATGTTCTTGTCTCTGCAATAGCTTTTTTTGTGCTGTTAAAATTCTCCTTTCTTATTATACTTTCTTTTTAAACAAAGGCACACATTACTTTCAGAAATTAAGAAACCATAACATTTTGCTACAGAAGTTAAACCTGAGGGGAGAAAAAGGTTCCCAGAACTTCCGATAACAATAGTGAAGCGACATTAAGCACCAGCTCAGGGGTCCCTTTGTTTCCTTATCACAGACAGCACACCGGAGGCCCCAGAGAACCGCTGGCTCCCTAAACATGCCAACCCCGGGGCGCAGGATGGGCGGGACTCACACAGTGCACCTGCTGGTCATTGAAGCGGAACCACTCCGCCCTGCCGGGGGGCTGGGCCAGGGCTGTGTAGTGGCCCCCGCTGCAGTCTCCCGAGTGGCAGCACATGGCGTAGAGGTGGTAGACCCTCTGCTCCTGCAGGGCAATTGGGGCTTCAGAGGGTGGGGGTGTGCATGGGCAGGCGTGTGTGGGACTGAGTTCCAGGGCAATGGAGGAGGCCCTGCTAGCTGTGACTGTGCTCTGGGGGCGGGAGTATGGACCCCACCCTGCCACCCCTCAGTGTCACAGCTGCAGGCCAGCCTCGAGGCCCAGAGCTCAGCTTCCAAGAGCAACGGGGCTGTACAGGACCAGAGTCTGCCTCCCAGCTGGGGTGGGCTGGGGCACAGCTCCCTCCACCACTCCCTAGCTCTGAAAACCTAAAGCTCCGGGTTTTCCCTGGAAAGTGCCATCCCACACCTGGCTTCCCGTCCCCTCAGGAGGCCATGGGAATCCCCGGCCCCCATCTGAGAATGAAGCACTTCCTGGCTTGCTTACACAGCCACTCTGGGGAAAGCCCAAACATTGCGCCTCAGCCTGCACTGGCTCCGGGTCAGCTTGGAAGGAACTGAGCATCTCAAGGGGCTCATGGAGAGGAGATCCTCCATAAAGTCCTGTCCTGAAAGCCCACTACGCAGGCCGCCCTGCCAACGGGCAGCTGCCCCGCACATCTCCTGCCCTCAGCTGCCGGGGCCCCCTCTCAAGCCCTTTGGACCCCATCACTGCCCCGCCTTCCATCACGCGATGTGGGCAGCTCTTCTTAATCACACCGGCAGACAGGTTTCCCATAGCCAGGATGGCCTCCGCCCCCGGGCGCCAGCCCACCCTGCCTGTGCTGTGGTTGTTCCTGTCACGAAGGGACAGGCAGGCAGGACACGCTGGCCGGAAATGTGACTGTCCCTGCAGGCTGCGGGCATGATGCCCCACACTGCGGCTCCCCCTCTCCAAGGCTGGGCACTCACCGGGTTGGGGGTGAGTGTGCCACTGTGGGAAGCTTTACACTTAGGCAATGTCAGCTCTCTGGGGCTGGTGTGCAGTTTCAGCACCTGGGCAATGTTGATAGGCTTCTGAATTTTGTGAAACCTCCCGTTTTCAAATGTCAGCTCCCTGACTTGCAGAATCAGGACCTTCGGGAGCCGCAGGAAGCGTGTCTCCTAAGGAAGGAGAGAGGTGGGGGCAGGGAGTTGCACACCCCACTGGCTCTGGAAGAGCCTTCCAGCCACCTGCCCCAGCTGCTCCCACATTTCCTCAGTCAAGGTTCGTCTGCACTGCTTCTGGTTTAAAAAGCACAGAGAATATCACAAAACATGACCATCAACCTTCCAGTTCTGTGGTGCCTGCTCTAAGTGGGCAGTCTTGAAGCCCAGGGCCCTGGGAAGGCGGACGACTGTAGCCCGTGCCTGTGTGTCCAGGGACAGCCTTGTCTGCAGCACAACCCTGCCTTGAGCCTTTAGTGGGAAGGTCAAGCTGATAAGACTAGGGGTGAGCAAGGACCAGGGGGCAGCTTCCTGGTCATTGTCAAGCTCCATGGACATAAGTGGGCACTTGGCACCTGCTGAAGACTCCTGTCTGTGCTCTAAGGGAGAAGAATGTCTTTTGGGAAAGTTTGACAATTGGAACCAACCCACCTCC